ACTCTTCTTTATTTTATCAAATAAGTAGCAATGAAGTGCTTCCTAATGTATTTAGAGCAACGAATCAGTGCACCTCCTGTCAAGACAGGTTTGTTTCATCAAAAGACTGAGGATTTACCATAGTTTTCCATTATATGGAAAGAAACCAAAAGTTCTAAACTTTCTACTGTAAAATAAAAGTGGAAGAAAGTTTTTTTTATTTTTGTTGTGCATCTTAAAATGTAGAAGAATGAACTTGTATGATGAAAATAATATGTAATAAATTGTCTTCCTAACTTTTGATGTCCCATATATTTTTGAATCAAACATATTCGTTTGCTGACTGTCAAAAGCTTTCAAAGGGACTTCATTCCAGCTCATCTGGAATAAAGAAGGTGCTCACAGGAATAGGAAGCTGCTGTTCCTTGTGTACTGCTCCACACTTACCTGTTTTCCCTCATCATGGGGATATGGTTACCCCTTCTTTGGGTTTTGAATGTTTCTATTTTACTGATTTGTGTTCTTTCATGGACCTTGGTGCTGAGAGGTGCTGCATAAAAAAAAAAAAAAAAAAAACAAACAAAAAAAAAAAAAAACAAACACAACTTCTTAAAGTGTTTTAAATTTCAAAAATAATTTCTAGTATTAGTATCTAACTTAGTGGCTGTTACATTCAGCTTACTTGTTTTTAATTCAGACTAGAAATTCACTAAGCTAGAATTTTTTTCGGAGTTGGCATATTTCTGGTACGTGTTCTATTGGATGATTGAGGGGAATATTTTACCTGATTACATTCAGAATTTTTGTAACTTCAAACCTAATTATTTCAGCACAAGATGCACCTTTATATAGCAGGAAACTTGAAAGCTTTTAGGGTTTTAAGTGGTAGAAGGATTAACAAAGAGCCGTCTTGAAACTAGAGTGATTTGCCTATTGACACTTCTGGTTCATACATGGGACAGGTAACACAGTTTGAGGGCAGTAGGAGGTGAATTTGAGGCTTTGAAGTGAGACAATGCCTTGTATGAGTGAAGGGAGTTTTGTGGGTTTGGTTGTTTTTTGCTTTTACTCTGAAAATTTAACATTGGAATTCTAGTTCATGTTTAGGAAAAAATAGGTATTTTTAATTAATAAAGTATTTAGTGAGCTTGGGTCTTAATGGGGGAGTTGAAGATGATGCAGGTCTTCCAAGTACTTGGAGATACAGAGTTCGTAGCACATGGCTGTTATGTAGCATTGCAGTTGTAGTGACCAAACCTTTTACAGCATTAAGGCTTTTATTCCTCAGTATTGGGCCATATTTTAGTTGAGAAGACAGAACTGTGTGATCTCTGTGCTCTTGAAGCAATTAGGGTAGGTGGTTATTATGACTTCTCTGAAATTGATTTCTGAAGGGGGGCAGTAGGAAAAGTACTGCTGCTTGAAATCATGTTTCTTCTTGGATTCCATCTGAATAATGGAGAGCAGGATTTGGCTCTTCTAGTCTGCTTAGCGTCTCTCTGTTCATGGCAGCACATGTTTGAGAGAGCACCCAGATTTATTGCTGCAGCAAGAAACAGCAAAGGGAGTCAGACTTTCTGCGCATCAGATCCGTTAGTCTCCTTCAGTGACGTGGAGATCCTCAACCACCCAAGGGCTTAGGTGGGCACTGCTGATTGAACGTAGCTCTCGCTGCTTACGAAGGAGAATTTTGTTGTCTATTATTTTTCCATCCTCCTAACTGATGAACCTAGAAAGCTCAGTCTCCCTGCACCTCCTCATTCGCCCTTTTAAGAGTCAGGAGTAGAGACATCACTAGCAACTCTGTTCTCAGTGAGGTTTTCTTATTATAAAATGAATGTGTAAGTTGTGGTCTGAGACTGAGATGGTAGTATTGTAAATCCATTGTCCAACTTCTTATTTTGGAAGGTGTGTATCTATAAATTTATTTAACAGCTGTCACAAAAGTAGCAGATTTTGAGATCGAGTAATTGAAGATCACATACTAGTGTTTGAAGGTAGAATAGCTTTGTTTGTATCCTCTAAATTCAGGGCAAAGGATGCAATCTGTGGCATGAAAAGGTTGTTTGCCCTTTTTTCACACGTGATTTCCCATATCTTCCTGCAGTAACAACAGTTCCTACTTGTCATCAGCATCAGCTTGCTGACTATACAGGCTGAATTCTGGTCTTTTGTATTGAAGACCAGGTTTAATTTCAGAACAGGAAGTAACATAGCAAATCAAAATTATTGAATGGTTCTAGGATTGTTGTAAACGTCTACATCCCTGGTTTTGTGTTAGTTCCCCATCTTTTATTTTTGTTCACTTGGACAGCATTTCATTTTCCTTCAGTGGAATACAACATGAGCTAAAAGTTCGTAGGGTAGCCTGTTGAAAGAAACAAGAGGTGTGAATTGGCTTAGTTTTTGGTAAAATTAATTTGGGCATCCTCAAATACTGTGGATCAGCCAGGAGGAGAGAATCTGCCATGTAAGGGTGTTCGGGTAGGGATGTCCTCTGCTAGTAATCCTTTTTCTTCTCTCCTAAGATTTTCTTGGTTTTATTTAAGCACACTTAATGTCAGTAACGCAGTAAAATGTTTTGTGCCTTTTTCTTCCCTTCCAGGACTTATAGAAAACTTTCTATGCCTTTCTAAGTCTGGAATTCTGCTCAGAGACAAACGATATTGTTTTGATGAAAATGAAAAAGTCTGTCCTTGTCTTTGCTTTCTTTCTCCAAATGTCCCATCAGTTAGAGCCTGATTTTAGGTGCGTTTTTCATCAGGCTGTTGAGCTGTAGGCTGCCGTGGAGAGCACAGTGTGTGAATGATGGTTGGGATGCTTGGAATGGGCATCACTGTTTGCCTGGCAGAGGAACTTGGTGGAACTGGGGGACACCACTGGAGCAGATTGAAGAAGATAAAATGCCATAAAAAATTTAGGTGTAAAGTTGATATCAGAAACAAGTTTCAGGAGAGCACACATTGTCAGGGAAGCAGGGAGATTTAGTTGGGGTTTTTACTGGGGGGGATAAGGGAAGCTTTTTGTTTGTTTGGCTCTTTACCATTTTAATATCTAGGAGAAGGGTACAGATAACTTACCTTTCTGGTACTGTAGCACTTGCTCCAGCACCTCTCTGCCTAATCCTTGCTCTAGCCAGTATACTTTTAGTTCCCTGTCTACCCTTTTTTCCTTCTTTCTCTTCTCCAGGGTGTCAGTGGAGAGGTGCTCTCACCACAGAGTTTCTTTTCTGAAAAGGGTTTGGGTTTGTGGGTCATGGGTGTTGGTTGGTTGGTTTTCTGTCTGTAACCACTGAACAGAGTATGGAGTCTTCCAAGAGCTTGTAGCCCCCACCAGTGAATAATGACTTTTTGTCCCAGAACTTAGGTGCAGCGTGGCCAGGGGCTCCCATTCATTATCCTTCATCTTCATTATAGAAATGGAATGTTTGGTCATCTGAAATTTAATTTGTGATACCTTCTAACTTTAATGAGAAAATGAGATAACTTTAAGTATGAAGACTCTTTCATACTTACAGCTGTATCTTTGACTGTGTTGCATGATGATTTGCAACTTACTGTCTCCAAAAATATAAACCTGACTTGGAGCAAATTTCAGAAGCCACAACAACAGATGTAGTTATGGACAGAAATGAAACTGAACTGTGGCAAAGTAACTTGGAAGTGGTTTTATTTGCATCTTTCCATTTCTGCATATTTATTGTTAATTGCTTCTGTATATAATACAAGTACAGTATTTAGATGTTAGAGCACCTGGAATCCATACAGTATAATGGGATCAATATGTGGATGCTATATCATGCCACTTGAAATCCTAGTATTCTCAAGAGTTGAGTTATTTATTAGTCTTTTTCCACTAAGCTTAGAAGGATCTGTCATGTGTCTACATCTCTGATAGCAAGCCACTGGCATTAGTGGGGCTGGAGAAGGTAATTTGGGGTAACAACGAGCTACCTTCCTCTCTCCGTCCGGCACCATATACCAAAGAGGTTTGCAGTTACATGCCATCAGTAAAGACAAAGACAGATCTAGAGATAAGAGGTGGAAATTCTTGTTCCACTGAGAGGCTTTCCTTGGTACCAAGATTTCATTCCTAATTCCTCACTTCCTAATGCAGGAGTCATCTGATAATCTGTTGTTCCAGTTTGTTTCAAACCTTTATGACTCTGTGAAGGGCTGCATTGGACCACTGGAACCTTTTTATTCATGTGTAGCAGCACATCCACTATTTATACTAGTAGAGATTATTGCCATCAGTACTATTTTTTAAGAATGTATGGTTTAGATATGTTTACAGATCTGGGATCTAACCAGTGATGTTCTTTTTCACTGTAAGGCTGGGATATATGCCTCTCAGGCTAGAAAGTAATCCAAGGAATGGAGCTGTATCGGAATAGAAGGCCTTCTCCCCACCAATCTGATATAATTCTGCCAGGCTATGAGATTTATCCATCACAGTTCATTAATGCTACCAAACCCTATTTTTAGTTTTTCCATAGAGTTAAGTAATGAACGTATCCATCTGGGCTGCAGAAAGAAGAAAGTGCCTCTAAATGCATTTTTGCTTCCAAGGTGAAAAAACTTTGTCTCAGTGGGACAAGTGAAGCCTGGCTGTGCTGTTGGCAGCATTTTAAAGGGAAAATGTTGCTGATGAAGCTAGAAATCTTGGCGCATGACTGTAGAACTTTCACTGTAATGTAGAAGGGGGTCTCTATTGCAAAACCAAACAAACTAAAAATTCAAAAGTGACCTGAGGAAGAATGAAAAGGTTTGTTTCTACACCGTTCTTTAGTAAATGCTCCTTGTGCTTATAAAGCTTTTTATTCTTAGTCAATGCCCTGCTGACTACTGCTTTGTCCCTACTGTATCAAAAAAGGGAGCTGGAGGCAGAAAAGGGGCAAAGTGGGAATAAGGAAAGAAGAGAAGCTGGAGGAAAAGTTTGCATCACCTCATGTGAAACATGAACAAGGATGAAATGCTGCAGTGCTTCAGCTTTCAAAAAGCTGTATTTCAAACACTACCTGCTTCATCTGAAAGCTAAGTAGAGCACTCAACAAGATCATAAAAACGGCTGATGAAATAAGAAAAAGGTGATGGGAAATATGCATCATCCCACTCCCTCCCCATCTGCCGTGCTTGTGTTTAAACCCCATGCAGAGGGTTTGTTACTCTGCCAAGGAAAAGCATTGCCCTTGACTTCTCTTCAAAAACAGCTAGAAGGAATGGCTTGTTTACTGTTACATCCAGGTATGCCACATCTTCCTTCTGGGCTGCAGGGGCTTCTGGCTGATGTGAGTCATCACCGGTGAGTTTGAAAAAGGCTTTATTTATTACCTGTAAGGCAAAACATAAGAGTAACTGGAGTCATCAGAGCATGATAGGGGAAAGACAAATGAGAGTTTGAGTAGATCATAAGGCCCATGAAGTAATAACTTAAATCGGCTATCAGCAGCACAGGATAGACTCCATGGATGCTTAAAAACCATGTTGGAGTACTTGTTCCATAACATGTGAGAAAGCTTTACGACTGCTTATTCTCATGGGCTGTATGAAATCCTGGTACCCTTGAAGGCCCTGACAGAACTTCCAAAGTAGTGCATCTTCTAAAAATAAATAAAAGTAAAGGCACCCAAATTATGCTTCCAGAACATGCTTTGACATCTTTTTATGAAAGACAGTCCTCTCCTTTAAGCTCTCCCTTCTTCCCCTGGGGACTTCAAAGCTGGAGCCCATCTTCAGGTGAGATTGTGTGCTGCACGCACCTCTGTGTTTGCAGTTTCTGAGAGTAGTCCCTGGGAGATGCAAGATTATCCTCAACAGCCCAGTAGCTGCAGCCTCTACTCAAGCTGGAGGTGGTAACAAGTGCAGTGTGATTTGTATGTAGGGCACCTAGCACACTCAGGCCTTGAACTTCATTTCTAGGTTGCATGCTGTTTGCTGCAGTGATTAAATTTGGATGGTTAAAGGCAAACCTGTTGCTGCAGATAGGTTAATCTAAGGAATATTCACCTCATTCAGTCATCTTGAGAGTCTTCTGCTGAGCATGTGTGCCACGTGGCTCTAACTGGTTTATTCTAGGCAAATTTATACAGTTAAAGAGACTGAAACTGAGCAGGAGGCACATTTTTTAAATGGCAGTGACGTGTACTGTACCTTTCCAACGGTTAGATTGGCATCACTAATTTTACTGAGATCTGCCCCCTTCCCCAGCAGTGCAGGCAGTTCCATATCTGCAAGAAGCTCCTGTAGATCAGAGCTGCCTTGTATTGTTAACTCTGGCAGCGTTAATTTAATTTCCCTGCAGAAAAAAAGAGAGAGAGAAAGGAGTGTGTGCTCTCCACAATGAATGCCTGGTGCTTGGGCAGTCCTGGGCAAGGGGCAGGTGAAAACAGCCTCAAGAAGTGCTCAATATGTGGGGACAGGCAGCTACCAGGGGCCAATGGGCATCGTGATATTGCTTCCAAATGGGAAGTCACCTGAGCTCTGCCTTGGGTACGCTATTAAACCCCAGAAAATCTCACTTCATTGGGCCTGTGTTGAAAGGCACTTGCTCGTTTTCTTGAAGTATCCCCAGTCAAAAAGCCAATCCCACTGAGGTCGAGCTCCCTTGGAGCGAGAACCCTTGGGTTTGCAGGTGTTTCTCTTTGTGCTTGGTGTTAAAACCTCCATGGCAGGATCCAACCCCCGTAAGCCTGCATGGTGCACCCTGTCTTGTTCATCCCTATGATAGGGTGTGCATGCCCAAACCCTACCTTGGGGACAGCTGCTGAAGCCAGACTGAGAACTGCAATGACAACTCAGACTCCATGTGCTCCAGCACGCTGCCATTGATGGGCTGCAGCAGCACCAGCAGCACAGTCTTGCTGATGGGGACTTCCACCACAGAAAAAGTCCCACTGGCATCAGTTTGGTACTTGAACGTCCCCGTAACTGACAACATAGGGACCAAGATCTTCTTGTTGGAATCCACCCAGAATTCCTGAGGCTCTTTGAGCCGGGAGGCTTGCTTCACATTCACTGAAAAAAACAGGTTGAAAAAGAAGAAATTGATTGCGCTCTTTCTTCACTCCTCCTCCTTTCTGTCCCCTGGCTGGTATGTACATTTGTTTAAAACCAGCATGCTATGCATTAGACAAGGACCAGGTGTATGAAGTCCTGTCTATCTACTGTAAACATATGCATCCTGCCTTTGCCTTTGATATGCCTCCTGGCAGCAACAGGCAGAGGCTGGTGCAGGCTCGCAGCACAGGGACTATGACCATCAGGACTGCCCCTGAGGCTGCTGTGTTTTTACTGGCTTTGTGGCCTTTCCTGGGCACGATTTCTGCTTGCTTGGTTGCCTGCTTCTGCACATGCTGCCATGTGGCTCCAGGTTGGCTCACAGGCCTGTGCCGAGGGTCTGCTTGGCAAAGTCTTCCTTTCCCTTCCTCAAGTGGCCGTGGCGGTGTGTTTGGGAGCAGATCCATCAGGGCCAGCCCTTGCTGCAGGAGTGCACTCAGGCAGCTGTGTGGGCTTGGGAGAGGGAAGGTAGCACAAGCTCTAGCTGAGGTCTAAACCACTGGCAATCTTCCAAACCAAAGCAATGGGGAAGGTAGTAAGCATAACACCAAAATGTTGACTGAGCCAAGGAGGTTAAAGAGGACATAACTGAACGCTTGCTAAGCCTTAATGGAAATTTCTTACCTAGTTCATGAGTATGGGAAGCCTTGCTGTCATCACCTGCCAGTTCTGCTTTGCTTTTCAGCTTATCTGCCCACTGCCACAGGTCAGTGCTGCTGACCAACTAGGCAGCTTTAATGCCTGCTGGCATTAAAGAAACTACTGCAATTGTCAAGGAGATCTGAAATCGCTGTTTGGTGGAATCAGGGAATTAGGAAAACAGATGTATATGTCTTGGTAAAGAAAGGAACTCCTTGCTTTAAAGTAATTAATATTGTTATAAAATAGGAGCTGGTCTTGCTGCACTGTTAACTGTTCTATTCTCCAATAAATCCAGATAAATTCTGGACCCTGACTTTTAATCTGTAGTAAGTGGTTTTGCATAGGAACACTTGCCTCTTAAATGAGCTTGCATAGTAAGAGCGTTTAGGCACTTCCACCTACTATAACTTCACCACAAAGAAGTAGCAGGCAGGAGATATGAAAGGTGTAAGGAAAATAAAAAGTAAGAAAGTAGAGCTGTTCACCTTTTTTTTTCTTATTTTATAAGAATACAGGATGCAAGCAGAATGCACATAGGAACAGCTTTCACGGGGTCTGTATAGCCTGAAGAATTTATTTTCACAGGATAGCAGAATTCAAGACTTTAATGAAGTTAAAAGGAAAAAAAGAATTGAGCATTCAGAGAGCTGAACGTATCAAGGTGAGATAGTCATAGGTTTTAAATAGTCTTGGGAAAGATATTGCAAAATCTTAAAGCTCTGCTGTTGACTTTGGGCTTGAGTCCATTAATATTGCGCCAGTCGTGAGCCATGACAAATCGGCACCGCTGTGTTTGAAATGGCTCCCTGTGGCCTTCTGCCAGCTGAGAGTCTGGAAGTCTGTGCCCTCAAACGTGTAACTAGGTGTGTACTCCTCTGAAAGCGCTCTAAAAGACGATAGTAATCCTAATGTGACTTCTTGTTTCTTACATCAGTATTTTAGGACACAGGAGAGATGTATTTACTAAAGAAACCCTACTTTTTGCCTCAGACACCTGGAACGTAAGACAAGGATAACTGAAGAAGATTAACATCCCTTTCATAGAAGGTGATAGCTGACACATTGGAAGAAATGGTTTCTTTTAGTGAGATCTCTCATATCAGGGCAGAGAAGCTATGGGATTTGGTAACCTTCCAACAGCCGCATCATGGCAGGGAAGAAACCTGTGTCTACAATATAGAGAAGACAGCTGAAGTAAAAAAAGTGGTCAACTGCGGAAATGTAGCCTGAGGGAGTAAAAGAGTACTCTCAGCACTGACTTGGGACTACAGGAAAGAAACTTTGGACCTCTCTGCTTCAGGTGATGATCTCAGTGTTCCGTAATAGAGGTTTTATGCCACTCTGAGAAGCTTAATGAAAGCATGACTTCCTGTGGAAAGATATGACTTCTTACTTAAAACTGAACAAAACCAAGAACAACAACAAAAGAATCATCCTACCTAATTTCTAGTTAAAGCTGAAGTTGTTGAGGATTGGCTGTTCAAAATAGAGCTTAACTGGGAGAAGGTAAGGGCACTTAAGATTGTGCAGCCCCACAGTGTTATTTTCATTTACTAGTTTGTAATTAGTTTGTAAAAAAAAAAAAAAAAGTCTGTCAGTAAAATTTGCACCCCGTGTTCTGCATTGGATTCTAAATAGCAGAATCCAATTTGCTATTGGATTTTCACATTTCACAAATGTGAAAATGACTGTGTGCAAGTGAACAACAGTTGAGACCATCGGAACATTTAGTAGTTGTTTTGTATGGATTTCTCTTATTCTATCAATCCTATGGCTGTTGGTAGCATCTCAAGAGCATGCATTACGTGTTTCAGACAAAAAAATTGTACTTTTCCCTTTCTGCAGCTACGGGGACAGACATGGAACATGACAGCATCAGCTGTCATGGTTGCCCTCCATAAGCAAACAGCAAAGCAAATGTTGAAGTCATCTCCTATGTTTATCAGAAGAAAGTTGCTTATCTAGTTCTTTTGTTCCTGAGCCAATTTTCTCTATCCCACGTGTGGAGACTACATCTCAGGTGCACCCTTCTGAGAAAGAGGAGGTAGTAGAGCTGACCCAGTGACTCAGCCCTTTGAGCATGTGTTCCTATGCTAATAAAATTACAAGTTTTCAGTGCAGAAGAGGAAAAAATTGTTCTGCTAAAGGAAAACTCAGCTCTTGTGACCTTGCTCAAATCTGTAACACAAGAATTATTTTTGCAGTATCACCTCTATGCTAGACCTTACACTGAAGAGAAAGCTGATGCTCACAGCTCCCTGAGGAGCTGGGATCAGTTAATGACAGCAACCATGAAAGGCGAGGAAAACCTGATATACAGTTTACAGCTGGGAAGAAAAAGGAACAAAAGCATTTCGTGGGCACCAGAGCTCTACACAGTAAAGACACACTCAGAAACTTACAGCTCACTGCAAATTTTTCTGAAATACAGTCCCTGATAGGCAAGCTGTCCTAAAGCTTGCCATCTCTGGTATTGCACTCCATTGCAAGGATGTTGAAAAGCAGCTACACTCAGAAGGGGAGGCTCAGTTGTGGTACAGGGGGATTTGTGGAATAGCAGCACAGAATGATCCTAGGTGACTGAGGGGTTGCCTGAATTCTCCTAGTTTTGTGTATACTCCCTGCTTCCATAACTAGTAGCTTGTTTGGCTGCTTTCTGAGCCAGAAGTTGCCTTCAGACTTCTGTGTTTAATAGCTATTAGAAGTCATGTCCATTATACTTTTTAGACTTTTCCTGAATCTGTACCTCTGGCCCGTTACTCCCAGTTCACCTGTGGAATTCTGGTTCTGGGGAAAGGTATTTCTTTGGCTTGCTTTAAACCTACTTTCTCATCAATTTTGCTGGAGGCCCCTCATTGCTTGTAGTTCCTTTGCAGTCAGAAATGCTGTGCAATCCTCTTTTATTCACCTTCCCATACTTTCCTAATCCTTAGCTTTCTGGATATGGAAAATTTTTCAGAGGCCACCTCCCTCCACTTCCTCCCTCTTGCCCTTTCTACTCATAGCAGAGTGCAGGCAGGACCCCCAGCACAGCGGTGGGGAGCAGAGTACTGTACATGGAGCAGCAGTCCAGCCTTTTATCTGAGCCCTTCCTTCTCATTGTTGTCCAGGCATGACCTTGTTTCCTTCCCAGAAGCGTGGCCACTGCCTGTCCTCCACCCAGCCTGCCCCTGGCAGGAGCAGTGCTGCCTCATACCTGCCAAGCGGACATCCGCTGCAAACAGCAGGTCGGCAGATGGATCGACGTCTGTCAGTAAGCACTTGCTGTGGCCCTCGCTTTTGGCCTCCACAAAGGTGTTTATTTGCTTTGCTGCCTCACTTGGGTTTGTGAAGTCAACAGCTCGGGCGAAGAGAGCATCAGCAGAGGGGAGCAAGTCCTGCACAAACAGCTGGGATAGAGGTATGCCAGGGGCAGAGAACAGGTAGAGCATCTTGGAAAAGAGCAGCTCCTCGTCCCTGCTCTTGACGAGGCTCTCGATTGTCCTCAGGCTGGAAATGACTTTGTGTCCATCCACCTTGGAAGTGCAGTCAGGGTCCCCAGAAGGTGGAACAAATCCCAGCAAATCCTGCAAATTGGCTGCTGTCTGGTTTGAGGCACCCAGGTAGAAAGCCACCAAGGAGCCATAAAGGCTGGTTGGTGACAGGAGCACATTTTGGCCCTGCTGAGCTTTCTGCAGTACACTGTAGAGCCGCACACCCAGGACATACACTAAGTTCTTCATGTGGCTCAGTTTCTGCCTCCCCCGGCCACTCAAGCTCGGGGATTCCAGCTTGTCCTTGTCATTCAGGTCATCTTCATAGGCAGGGGTAGTTTGGGACTCGATGGAAACAGGGACAAATGTTTTCTTTCCTTCCTGGACCAGGCTTTCCAGCTCCTCACAGGTACTCTTGTTGAAAGAAAACAAATTGAAAGGGTGGACATAGACCCGGTCACAAGTCACTGCAGTGAGGCACGCCAACAAACAGAGAAGATCTGCTACCGCGTTCATGTTGAAAAATTGATTCCACACTGTTTGCTGGAAGAAAAAGTGAAGGGGAAAGAAGAGGGATCAGCCTGTTGTAAATAGTTTCTCTTACCCTCTGGATGAGGAGTTACTGTTGCATCGGAATTACAAAGGCAGGAATTTCAGTGTCTGGTGCTGACTGTTCTGAGTCTGCCCTCTGAAAAGCCCAGGATGAGGTGGCCACTAGTTTCAGTGGTGGCAGGTGGAGAAATGGTAAGCACCGATTTGACACCATTACTCACTGCAGCACCCTAACAATTTAGCATGGGACGCAACGTGGTTGTGCACGCCAGGTAGTTAGGCCTGCAAACTAGGGTGTGCCAGTTCTGGCAAAACGTTATAAAAATGCAACTGCATTGCTCCCGGGACCTGGTCAGAGCTACCTCTGGAAACTGCTGCACTAAATCTTCCCGACACATGGACAGCCTAAGCAACTTGCCTCCTGGGATGCAGGAAGTGGATTTGGAAACCAGGTCTCTTAAAAGTCCAACCACAGAACGATCCTGCTTTGTGTGTCTAGTCAGCGTAATACTTGGCACTAGCAGAGAGTTTTGTGTTTTCATAGCCCAGTGCAAACATTCGTTCTTGATTCCAGGTAAACATACTCAAGACTTCCTTATATAAATGTGCAAACACTGAAGCCATTTTCATAGCACATTCTTTAGCTGAACACAGAGTTAGAAGGGGTAAGCTGAGCTTTACTCTGCTGTACAGGCAGTCTTCTGCAGTAAAACACCATCTGCTGCTCTCGTTTTGCCTGATGAGAAGTGGAGAATTTTACTGGATGTAGATGTAACTGGTGTTTTGGCACAAAGGATCTGGTGAGTATTGGGAATGAGAAAATCATTGGCACAGATATACACACACAGATGTGCAAACACACTGACAAATTCTGCATTTTTATAGTTCTCACTTTTCCTATAGCCTATTTTTTTGTAACTAGTAGCTTTGTTGTGTATTTCTAGTATGCAACTTTGAATTTGTGTATTTGAAATCCAAATGCATTGGAAATTACACATCTGTAACACTTATCATTGACCAAAACACTGTTATTCAGAGCTGTATTTTTATTCTATTAGTTATTTCTTGTTTATTGTAGCTCTGTCCACTTTTTTTTTTTTTTTTTTTCCCCATTTTCCTGTCTCTGCAGAGCTCACTGGATGGGCAAAATGCTAACAACCTTGCCAATAACCAACCACTCTTGCCTTCCTTCTCCAAGATTTTTTGAGTTGCAATACCTGTGAGGTATTGCAATTCTGGTAGCCTGAGCCTTTTGAGAAGAGGACAAAGTGCAATGCCTGTCTAACCAACATTTTATTTACACAAGGTGGAAGAGTCTGGGTTTAAATCCAGCCATTCAAGACCTGGCACCTTCCCAGCCTGACTTACAATGTGTAACCTTATTCATGTCACTGAGGGATCCCTGAGTGTTTTTCATGCCTAATAATGCTCTGGTCTGCAGTATCACCACTCTCTTGCAAATACAAAAACTGAGATGCACAGATGCTTGCTAATTAGACATACCTTGCTAAGTACATATGCCTGCTGATGTGCACAAATGCATTCTCAGGCTGTAGAATCCTAACAGCTTGGTTTGCAAATGGAGTTTCTACTGTTGTGATGGTGCCTCGGGATGTCTGAGCATCTTCCCAAGGAGTGTCTGTGGGTCAGGCCTGAAACCATTTGCCCTCCAGAGGCAAGCAGAGGAGGTGCTGCTTTAGATCTCCAGCCCTGTGCCTTCATCCAGGGATTGCTCTTCCCCATTAACTCTAAATTAGAATGTAGGCAGTGTCTGTCTGTGCTGCTGTTACCTCTGCTCCCTGCCCTGTCTTCACCTGCCCAACCCCTCTGGCAGCAGGTGACATGTATCACAGAGATTCTTCATTGCTTACAACTGGTTAAAAAATTATCTCAGGAGGTGCCTTCCCAAATTCATCTTCGCAGTTGGACCAGCCACTGTGCTAGTGCCTTTCTGGACTACTCGCCACATTTTCAAAATTGAGACAGCTCAGGAAAACAAAAAGTCACAAATTAGAGGCACTGCCCTTCCCACCCTGTTCTCTCCATCACACAATTATTTTGAAGCGTTTCTTATTCTTTCCTGTAGCAGCAGTGGGGAGGACTCTGTGCCACCCAGTCAGGCTGTGCCACTACTGGTCGCTGGTGGCTACTTCTCTACGGCAGGCAGAACCAGCATGTCAGCTCTTTCCTCATGAGCAGAAGCAAGAGAAGCAGCGCTCACTCCCACCGCTTGCACTCAGCCCCATTTGTGGAAATCCAGCACGTTTTAGTTCCCTGGAGAGGTCAGCCCTGAGCCTTTCAGAAAAGCGTGAGACCCTGCATTGAGAATCTGTCATTCAGAGCAAATCCAGTAAGTGTGCTTACTGTGTGCCGCCCCGCTGGCGAGGTCCCCCTTGGGCAGGCTCCTCACACCACGTTCCTCTCCCCAGAGCGAGGTGGTGTGGTTGCAGGGGGGTTTATGCCCTTCCCAGGGCAGGGCTCTTTCCACACCTCTGCGGCGGCGTTGCGCAAAGCTGCTTTACATCACAGCCGGGGGGCAGAGGAAAGACGGGGCCCCGGGCAGCCTGGGCATGGCTTAACAGCAGCTGCACAGAAAGTTCCAGGAAGGGATGCACAACCTTTAACCAGCCCCAGCGCAGCTGCTAGCCTGCAGTTACACATTTACTGAGACAGACACAAGCGTTTCACTGTGCTGAAGAACCTTTTATAGGAGCTGAAAATAACTCAGCTCGTTTTGTGTCAGAATAAAAGCAATACGTATTTCTTTGTACCTGTATTTGCTGTACAGTTGGACCAGCTTTTTTTTCCTTCTCAGTTATATTGCCTTTAGTCTCTACCTTGCAGCCTGGGTAACTATCAGTGAGTGGGACATGTATGCTACAGAGTAAAATGATTAAGCTCTCAATCTTTACCCTGTCTTTCCTTCATTATCTACCCAGAAGATCAAGAGTTTGTTATTCCTCTTCTTCAAAACTGAATGCATTGAAAAGGAGAGCGTGAAAGCTAGATGAATTAGGTTGCCAGAGCCAGATCATAGGGTTTTCATCCCTTTCAGTCTCAGCTTCCCAGTTCCTATTTGGCAAAAGGATGGGATTTGGACATCTTTCCTTTTGATAAGGTCCTCCAGTTTTGGTGTGCCCCTTCTTCCTCTTGAAGTAAACAAAGAATGAATCAAAATGGGGATGATGCAGTTGGCTTAGATTGGGCCTCATTCAGTGCCCCTGTTAGAGCAAGTGATTAAAATCCCGTGACTCTAATGGGAGTAGGGCTGATTTAATATCCATGCCCTGATTTTAGAAGGACAGTCAGGTGTGGTTCATCCTGCAGTGCCCAGTTATATGTTGGGTTCAAGGAGAGAAATGAAAGAGAAGGATGAGTTAAGTGCACCCGGGCAGTTGGAGCTGGTAGAGCTGAAGGTGGAGACAGGGACAACCGAGTCCTGCCAGCCTGAGCGCCCTGTGCCAGGTGCCGAACACCAAAGGGATGGGAAATTTCTGTCTCTGCAGCCCTGCTTTTCATTTAAACAGTTCAACTACCTGAGGTCTGAAAACAGTTCTGAGCACAGGCCTGTATGACATGTTATTATATACACGAAGCTTAAACAAAGAGGTGTTTTGACCTCTCACTGCCTAAGCATCTCAGTCAAGGAAGCATCTGGCAACAACAGAGTCCCTGAGCATTTGTACCATCTCCAGACAGCTATAAACTGCCTGCAGCCCAGCCAGGCATCCAGGCAACGGGCAAAGTAGTTCCTCCATTCAAAATGCACTTTGTTCAGCTAACTGCTAAGAGAACAAGCTAGGGCTGCAATCCCCCTTCTTTTCCCTGTCCCCCACAGTCCTTCCCAGAGACAGGCTCAGGGAGAAAGCTGGTCCCTTAGAGGCCAGTGAAGGTCTGGGTGGGACATGTGACAGCACAGCCCAAATCTGTGTCCCCTGCACTGCCTGCCACGTGTGTCCACATGAGGCACTAGGTGCCAGCGGTGTGCACAAGTGGCCAGACCACACCATGCCTGTGAGCTGCAGCTGGTCTGCTACATCCTGCTGGGTGGGGCTTGACAAAGGGGGAAAAAGAACACTCTCAGTACTGAGGACACAGAAATCAAGGCTGTTCCAGTGAAAAGCACCTGGTGTTTTGTAAAACTCTGAAAAGTGTCTTTGTTGTTAAGACTTACTTCCTTTTGCAAATAAGCTGCAAGTGATGCTAATAACATATACTACAGCTGTCAGACTTGCGCGTTTGCTGTGGTCAATAAACACTGGAAAGGGAAATCACATACATAACACACAGCCACTGTATATTTTTTTTCCTTAAATCATTATGCCTCTGTGCTGTAACACCCAGAGGATATTATTGCTTGGGTATCCCCTGCTTCCAGCTCCACTGCAGACCATCCAGCTCCACTGCAGACCATGACCAAGTCGTACTGCAGATGTTGGTCTCCTTTAGCTATTAGGTAGCAGCCTTAAGTCAGGGATTCCTTGCTGCATGGGGTGCTGCCCCACAGAAGAGGAGGAACAGGAAGCACCTGAAGGATAACTCCAACATGGGGCTCTGGCAGCTCTGTCACATAACGAGAGGTCAGGATTTAGTTGAATGTTCTCAAGGTTTTTGGCCAAGTTGACCTTTGGGGCTCTCTTGGTGTTTGTGCCCTCAATTCTATTGTTTTCTGTCAACAGTAACAAAAAATTGCCACCGTCTTTCAGAAGCACAGGAGTCTTCCCACTTCCACCCCCCCAACACCCCATTCAATAAAGTCACCAAATTAAAATAAGCAGCTTTCTCCAGAAAAAAAAAAAAATTAAAAATCAGAAAACAGATTAAATAGATTGAACATATAAATCGTTCAATGACCTGCTTTCTCCACAGCACTCCTCCTGTTTTGGATCACTGGGAATTTAGCTGGCCTTCAGTAATGAGGGAGAACCTTTGATTTCACCTTACGTTCATGCCCTACTACAAAG